TAAACACTAATGTGTATTTCCAGTCATATCATTTTCAAAGATGCTGGTTCCAGCCAACTTAAACATTCCTTTACAGATATCTGGAGATGATACACCCACCCTCACCTGCTTGTGTTATGAACATGGCTTCTTGTATTGTCCCAAAGGACAGCCACTGCACTGCACCAGGTTAACATACACTTACTCCTCTTCTCTCCCCTCCAGCATTTGTAACCACTAATGGTTCAAGCATCTTCCTTGGCACAGGGGTTAAATCCAAAGGGCTAAAACTGCTGAAACAATTCTACTTATCTCATGAATTGAAGTTGGAAACTCTGTATGTACGATCCAAATGCTAAGCTATGTCCAGCCCCCAACCACTGCAGCCTCTGCTCTCAAACCCAGAGGCTTACGTTGCACCTGGAAACCAGAGCCTTGACAGATGCGTCTTGCCAGCAGTGATGGCGAAACTTTTAGAAACCAAGTGCCCAAACTGCAACCCAAAACCTACTTATTTATCTCAAAGTGCCAAAACTGCAACTGAACCTGACTACTGAAATTTCAGTTTAGAAAAAATAATTGTTATCTGGTGCTCAGCTGCTCGGGTGACTTGACTTGCATGCTGACAGAGAGGGCTCTATGTGACTTGTGTGACATAGGTTTGTCACCACTGGCCTAAATGAAGAACTTTGTAAAATGCTGGAAGTCCAGAGAGGTGCATCCTTGATAGTTCTCCTTTGCCAAATTTCTCAGCAGAAGCCAGGGGCCATTGCCTGCAAAACACCCCTGATTAAACCTATTGGGATGCACCTCAATTTGAGCCAGGATTATTCTTGTTCCTGGGGCAGACTCTACCCAGCCTACTGAGGACACTTCTTCCCTTCCTAATGCACTAAACCAAGAGCTCCGTGATAAACATCAGAACTCTTTAGGTTCATTCCCCTGGCCATTTCCCTGGGATGCCTTCCAGGTACCTTCTTTCTCTAAACTCACTCCTGTTTCTGTGCAAAAGTGACTATCTCCTCTCTAGGCGGAACCACAAAGTTTGGAGTGGCAGGAGGGCTGCCACACTCTTCAGCCCACTGGAATCTAGGAATAACTCAGCACACAGTGCTCTGTTTCCAGTTTGAGACTTGTGGAAATTTGTAGCAGGATGACAATGACAATGATGATAAATAACATTCACTGGGTGTTAGTTTGAATACACACAATATCCAGTCAGTGAATGGCTCTGGAATCCACCAGGAAAACAAAAATTTTAAATGTGACTCATATCTTCACAAATTTCTGGAGCATAAGTATTACTGTAATCTTCATTTAAAAATGATGAAACTTCTCCTGAGTGTGATAAAGTGACTTGTCTAAGGCCATATAGCCACTAGGTGTCAAATCTTTAGTTAAAGAGGCACAAATAAGTGTGGATTGATAACCTCAAAATATTCAAACACAATCATGTTTAGTCAATGCACAATAAAAGTCTTGTGAATGATAACTCATTTTGAGAGCCTTCTTATTGACTGAATTGATTCCTTTTTTTCTTCCTACCTCCCAACCATATTCCTCTGTTGAGTCAGCCTTTATATAACTTGCCATATGCCAGGCACCAGGCTTTATTCTGGGCAAACAGAGAGGAACTTGGCCCAGCCCTGACCCTGAAAAGCCTAAAGTCTGGAAGTGGAAAGCAGACCTGAAAGTACATTTTTGTGAGGAGCCCCAAGTCTCCTGCTAGTGCCCAGTACCACACTCAGAGCCCTGTTCCTTCCTAGGCATGAAAATTAAGGCTCTAGTCCTGAACTCCTGTTGTCTTTAAAGTCAGTGCAGCGATGTCCTTATGTGACTTCATTTTTTATTTTTCCCAAAAGATCACTTTTTAAAGGAAGAAACAAGAAATCTATATTTCTCATAGATCAGTAGCTATGTGATCCCAATTTCTCTTTTGCTTAATTCTTTATTATATAAAAAGAAAAAGGAGAGAGCAATAACAATACCAACCCTGATTAATTTACAGGGATAAGAGTAAACAAACTTATAACGTATATATACAGGACTAAATATGAAAATGTAAGAACTTTTGTATGTGCTTAACATGGAATTGAAGGCTCTAATTGATGCTGCTTTACCCACTCCCCCCTCTGCTTGTACCCAATTCACGCTCCCTGGGTCCCAGCCATAACCACACAGCCCTGCTCTGCAACTACCTCTCTGTCATTCTTCACACTCTTTCCATGGCCTGAAATAGCTTTCTGCATCACTGTCTGTTGATTTTGATACTTTACTCAAATGTCATCTCCTTTATTCTAAAATAGCACCCCTTTCCTCCTTTGCACCATTTCATGTGTACCTCTCATGTCACACTCAGCATTGGGACTAGAACTGTTCGTCTACCTAGATGTGTTTGTGTATATGAATTGTTAATAAAATACTTATCTGATCAAATTATGCTTTTCTTCTCCCTACCCTTCCCTGCCTGTCTGTGGCACCTTGTGCCTAGAACGCACATCCTGGGAAGACTTTAGACCCACAGATCCAATGGACAGTCTTTGTGGCTCAAGGGCAGTTAAGACTTTCTCTTCAGTTGACCCAAACCCCCCAGGGAATGGTACAAAGTTAGTTGAAGAGGCACGAATAAGTGTGGATTGGGAACAGAGGGTGTGCCCTGTTAGGTGGGCTAAAAGGTAAAAGTATCTCTGAAAGCACAAAGTGCATATCCGTGGGATTAGCCAGACGAGTTTAGGTGAACTTTTTCAAATTACATATTCTTGCATTTATTAAAATGACATATATTTAGTACATCAAACTTATGATTTCATAGATATTCCTTAAGAAAAGCTTTGTCAATAGAATAAAAATGAGTTGGTTTGAAGAAAAACATTACATAAAGATAATAGGATATGGCCAAATTATGCAATGGTACTGCTCCAGGTTCCAGAAACTGGGTATTAAGATTTGTGTCCTCCAAAGCCTCATGTGGTCATAAGTGGGGCTTTCTAGAGGTGGCTAGATCCAGAACGTGTGACACTGGGTGCAATGATGCAATGATAGGATTAAGAGTACAGTACCATTAGGATTAAGACTGGTAGCCTGGATAGGACGAGGGACAAAAAGGGGGCTTCTGTGCTCTACTCGCTTGCTGTCTTCTGCCTCCCATAAACTGTTTCTCCTCTCCAATGCCCTTGTCCCAAGCCACCCAGCCTTGGAACCAGCTGATTAGGAACTGAAACTTCTACAAACTATGAACAAAGGAAACCATTCTTGCTTTAACTTTGATGTTAGGTATTTTGTCTCAGCAATGAGAAAATTAATTAAGCCACTGGGCTTAGCCACCTCTAAAGGTGAGATGGAGATGGAGATAAAGGTAAGAAAAGACTCCTGTTTATGTGTCAGATCTACTGATAGCAGCCCCAGTAATTTCAGAGTTATTTACAAGGCCCTATTACTGTGCAAAAAGCTTTGTTCAAAAAGAAAAATGAGACGAAGTGTTTTTGCATCCCATTGTTTCTCATTAAAATGAAGAAATGGGCTGGTAAATTGGTCAGAGGGAACCCAGGGAACTTCGCAGCATTGGATACTAGGTTTCCTAAGGGCTATGGGATTTTACACCTTTCCCCAAGACTGGCAGAAACAAAGATCCCAGATATGGAATTGCTTTTCATTTTTTGCTATAAACCATAACACTTTACAGAAAGAAAAAACACTTCAAAGGCAGGTCTTTTCTCGCATACATTTTGGAGCTCTATTCAAGATCTACATTTATCTCCCTTATCCAATTACGGGATCAAAGCAGAAGTGTTTGGCCTACTTCAGGGGTTTAAAGACATCCAGGGAAAAACTCAGAACATTTAAAACTACCTTCTTTATGCCATATATCTTCCAGAGGAGAATTAAAATACTCTCCCCTTGTCTCCCTTATAACTAGTCTCTAGATGCAAAATGTCAGGTCATAGAGTTAAAGTGCTCTAATCATCCAAGCATAAACGATTCAGTTACATCTCTGTAAATCCAATCTAATCTCAGCACGTTTGGTGTGCTTTTTGTGCTCCACACCACTACAAAGCCTTTTCCAGAATCTCCTGCTAAATTCTTGATTTTCCTGATTAGGTTTAAAGATCCCATGTTAAAGTAAAACCAGCAAAAAATGAAAAATCTAAAGTGCTACCTTGTGAGTCTCCCTAAAGCAACTGATTCTAACACATCTGCTCATTTTAATGCTGCTATATGAAGTTCATATTTCTCTAAATAACACATAGCTGTCCTTCATGTTAACACTCTGGGATTTGGGACCTTGTTCTTAAAAAGAAAAAAAAAAAAGCAAATACTTGAAAATATTTAAGTGAACGGACTGCCTATTGGTGTACTGACTTTTCTCCATGAGAACAAGTCTGTTGGCAGCCACCGGAGTAGGGGTATAAAAGATGACCTTGGGCAGCTGTGCCATTTGTTTTTGGTGGACAAATAAGGGTTTTGTCTCTCCCCAGGGGTTAATGTGATATTCTGAGTGCCACCAGGGCTCTGTTTCTGAAGGTTTACACCCGAGAGGAGGAATGCTTTGTGGTTTACGACAAGATCACAGCAGAATATTTTGTGCAAGCTGTGATTTGTATCACCCATTTGTGCACAGGCCATAAAAGTGCACTTTTTATCAGGAACATTTGTGAATATATAACAGCACCGAAGACATATGGCCACTAAATAATTCACAGTTATCTATCTTCTCAGCAGATTCCTTATACACCTACCATGTTTTAATGCCTAGTTTGCTCAGAAACAATATTCTTTATGACCCTTCCAATATAAAAATGTTTACTGACTGGCAGCAACATATGGATACCATGGGATTAGGCTGTAAGGCAAGGAAAAGTTTCTGTTTTCTGTGCTTCTTCCTCTCTTCATTTTTCCTCTGAACTCATCCAAATGGCACCCAGTTTTACAGGAAGGGGTGCCTCTCCCCAGTGCGAGCGGGGAGTTCTGACAGAGCTGTAGGTGGAAGTCACTGACTAACTTGCCTCCTCTTGTCTTTTCAGTTCCATATCCATTTACAGTCCCAAGGAGAATCCAAATGCATTTGACACTGCAGCGTTCTTCCAGTCTGTGGGGAATTTCCTGGGGATCTTCACCGGCTCATTTGCAATGGGGTCTGCGTATGCTGTTGTCACAGCACTGATATCCTTTGTGTATGCAGAGTGGCCAGCGTCCATGGAATATTTCTGATAATGAAAAACCTCCAGGGTGGTGAACCAAGGCACTCTGGTTCAAATGTGATACACATTGTTAAAGCTATCCTAATTCCAAGTGATTCTAGGAGACAGAGATCGGTACCATCAATAGACAGGATCAGATTTTTTTGTTATGTTTTGGTTTTGTCCAAGTCAATTCTAGCCCTGTTGGTAATATCTGATCTTAGGATATGAACAGCTCTTAAATAATTGCCACTTAGTAAAGGAGTGGACAGGGAATATCAGGATTCCTAGACTAGGATTAAGAGGAAGAATTGAAGATTCAAGATCAAGAGTAAGATTAGATTGCCTGTGAGCCAAGGATATAGCTCAGCAGCACAATGCTTGCATGGCAAGTGCGAGGTCCTAAGTTCAATTCTCCATACCGCCCCCCCCCCCAAAAAAAGATTAGATTAGATTGTGGAGGGGTAATACATTGGGTATGCTCAACCTAATTTTTAAGCTATGCTAATCACTAAGTCACAGGGTCAGAATCCAAAGATCACTGTGGACTTAAAAGACATTTACAACATTGTGGAAGGGAACCTGGGAGTGATGCAGGAGTAATGTTTTCTATCGTTGGGTAACTCTGTCATTGAATTTCCACCTTTTTTTTTTTTTAGGAAGTTGAGAGGATGAGTTGGGTTCCTACAGGATTTAATCAGAAAAGAGGCTTGTCCAATGGACTATGTACCTAGAGTAGTTGGATGGGGGCAAAAGGAAGTCAAAATTGAGGCAGATACTCCAGAGGGCCAGTGTCAAGCATGCAAGCTTAGTAGAAATCAGAGAGAAGAGGTAAAGCAAAAGAGCAAGGGCTGAAGACTTCAGAGAAAGAAGAGGGAGGAGTCTGCCAAGACCATGACAAAGAAAGCAAAGTTGGGGGACTTTTTCCATGAGGATTTTCTCAGAGATTCACCATGCAGCAGCTAAAAAGGCTCATTTTCACTTCAAGTATCTATATTAAGAGTTAGAAAATTAGTGCTAAAGTTCACATAATTATTAGAACTATAAAAATTCAGAGATGAAAGCAGGTGTAATGATGCACTTCAAGCTCAACCTAAGACACTGTCTCAAAAGAATAAATACAGTTTTTAAAATGGGCTGTGATATAACTCAGAATAGAGACCCTGGATTCAATCTCTAGTACCAATAATAAGAAGAAAAGAAAGAAAGAGGAAGAAAGAAAGAAGGAAAGAGAAAGAAAGAAAGAAAGAAAGAAAGAAAGAAAGAAAGAAAGAAAGAAAGAAAGGAAGGAAAGAAAGAAAGAAAAAAAGAAAGAAAGAGCTGAGAAAGTCATTAGGATTATAAAAATTAGGCCATTGTGTCTAGAAAGGACCAATAGAGGCTTAACCAACTGTATTATTCTGAAAATCATTTGACAAGTAGTATTTATATGCAGAGTGGTAGCCTTTAATGAGTGGAGGTGGAACTGGCTGTTATAGCATGCAGCAGAAGTGCCTGAGAGGACCAGTGGACTGACTCACCAGTCAGAGAAGCAGAAGATAAGGCATACAGCAGGTGAAGTCAGCTTGTGGAATCCTTTGAGGTATTTTCATAAGAATCTGAGCTTCTTTCTGTAGTCCACGATTAGCTGCAGAAGGGTTCTTCTCAGGGACACCATGACAGTCAAATATTTAAAACATATTTGCTACATAGTGTGTGTCTAAGAAAGAGGATTAGAAGTGAGGGAAATGGTACTGATTAAGTATGGAGGAAGCTGCAGAAAGGAGATAATGTCTAATTGTTTATTAGAGATAAATAAAGGGAGTCAAAGCTCACTCCAGAGTTTTCTTTTGTAGCCCTTAAAGGATGGCACCTCCATTGGCAGAGATAAAGTAAGTCAGAAAATGTAGAGCTGGCTTCCAACATCCAAAATTGACGGTGTCCAGTACTCTCTATATGCAGGCTCCTCCACTGCCTGTTTTACACCTTCACAGAGACCTTATTGCCAGGTACTACTTTTATTGGCCACCACAGCTGAGAAAGGGTATTATTGCCAAGTTCGTGCAGCCAAGAAGTGAAGCCATAGAGTAAGAATCAAGAGCAGATCATACTCCTAATCACTACTTCTTAATCATTAGGTAGAACTGTGGTGGAGTTTGTGTGTTATTTTGGAATATTATGAGTAACAATGATAAGGAACATTTAGTGACTGTCCAGTATGTTTCAGGACTTTCCTGTGCACCTCTGCATTTGAATCAACCCTGTAAGACAGATAATTATCACCTTCACTTTACATGTGTAGAAACTAAGGCTTATGGAGGTTTAGTAGCTCACTATGGGTCACAAATCAGTCATAATGAACATGATAGAATATCACCTAACATTTTCTAGAACTTTGCCATGTGCCAGCCATTGCTATAATTATTTTGCATGGATTGTCTCAGCCAGGTTTTACAAGAACACGACAAGTAGATACTGTTATTATCCTAATTTTATAGATGATGAAACTGGAACAGTTAAGGTTAACTTCACTAATGCCACACAATTAAGACATTTCAAGCCCAAGATTGCAAACTAGGTTGTTCAGCACCACAGAGTGTGGCAGGTAGACAAATTGAGTTTGGAACTCTTCCCTGCCTGGTGTGAGTTGACAGTGTTGACATAGGCTCATAAGGGAAGGAAAACATTCCTAGAGATGGGAAGTCTGCCAGGATTCTGGAGGAAAGATACAGAAATACGAGTTGAGTGGTGGGAAGACAGAGCTCAGTCACAGGAGCATGACCAGTAATGTGGCACTCGGAGGCCTTTAACCTATGAGCAAGCTGTGAAGGAGAGAAGTGTATACTGCGGTTCCCTCCACATCTCCTCTATGATGAAGTGATCTCCTCAGGTTGTGGCACCAAAGTCTGCACTTGGGGGCTGACTAAGAACCAAACTGTTTTCTGGAGGAGAATGCTCTACAGCCTATTGATATTCTGTTACTTGCAGAGGCCTGGACTTTCTCTTTAAAACAACTTCGGAGAGAGAAATCAGGCTTCTCTCTGAACTAACAAGGCTTCTCTAAAACTAACAAGAAAGGATAATGAAAAGGGGCCTAAGGGCAGCCCATTTTTTTTTCCAGATGAAGAATTGCCTCCAGATGTATACAGATTCTATTTCTGTAAAATTGTTTTACCAAAAACATTAATTTAAATCACCAATAGAAAATGTTGGATATCACTTATTGCATGGTAAGCATCGTTCTAAATATTTAGCACATATCAACTAGTTCATATTACTGACAATATAGATTTTATTGTTGTCCCCATTTTCCAATGTAAATCAGAGACATAGAAGCCAAGACCTGTCCAAGTAGATGTAGCGAATTGAAATCCAGGTGAAGTCAGTTTCCAGAAGCCATACTCCCAGTGATATTTCTACCTGTAGGTGTTCTGTGCTTCCTAAAACTTTACATGACGGTTTTAACATACTTTATTCTCCACACGGTGGGAACAAGCATTAGTCTCCTTGCCAATTCACATTGGAAAGGGTAATATACTGATCAGAAATCACACAGCCAGTGACTGGCCAAGCCAAGAATCAAACCCAGATATTCCATGCTGGACGTCATGTTTTTACTCCCTTGGCCTGCTGCTAAACATCTTTTAATATGGAACCTGCTATAAATTTTGTTCTAGAAGCATAAAAATATAACATGATCACCTCTCCTTATCTGTCAGGGCATTTTATCCCTAATCTGGACAAAATTACATATAATACTTTCTCAGCAATCACATACGGCTGATCATAACCCTTTCTTTGCCCAACTTGTGCTTCCATCCCTTTATCATATTTGTAATTTACAGACTATTGTCCAAATGTCATCCTGGCCAAAATGAACCACTACGTGCCTGAAGGCATCTTGTCTGACCTGGAAATAATAAAACTTTTTCTCCTGTATTCTACTTATAGCAAAGGGAAATGGAAAGGTCCAGTGTCACTGAATGTAATTCCTTCTCCTGACCCTATCTCTGTCTCTAAGTGCTGCCCGCACACAGATTGCGCTCACCTCACCCCACCCCACACACATTAAGCAGCTCTGATTTCCACACTGACAGGTCCAGCATCTGGTTCCAGCCACACCCCCTTTGTTTTCTTCAATCTGCTACAGTTCTAGGAGCGCACAAGGCTAAGGCCAAATTCAAGAGGTTTTGTATCACAGTTTTACACACTTAGTAGGCATCTTTAAAAAAAAAATAATCTGAATACAGGTTTGAATTTTTATGGCATGTTTGTCCCTCAGCAAAGCAGGGAACTCTCTGTGGTCTTTCTAATAGGGCTCATGGAGACTGACACCCTTCCAGTCAGGCCCGAGAATCATCTTCATCTCAAAACTATTATTAGCTCAGTTTATCGCCATCAACAAGAAGATTTATCTTTCAGAGTCTTGCTTCCCTTAACACTTCTTTGTCACTTGACCAAATTCACCAAACTCTGTGAGTTCCCGATGCTGGAAACAGGCTTGTTTTTTCTTCTTTCTTGGAGTGCCTTCCTGTCTGCTGAGGCTGCCGGCCTAACAGGTCAGTACTTCATGTTGCACTGAGAATTAGATGTGTGAACTGTGTGCCCATCTCTGGGTGTGTCTACTCCTCCCTGACTCAGCAGGAGGTGAAATAAATTCTCTCCTGAAGAGGGAATATGAATGTTTATATCAGTCAGGCCTTCCTTGGGTGTCCTGTGGGAAAATAATAATAATTCATCCATTTAGGACAAAATAACAGATGTCTCCAGAATGCTCTTTAGCCTTGCTGGACAGGAGAGGATGTTAAAGTGACTGATTTATGGTAGTGACAGATCACCTAAGAAGTCTCTGCTCCGTGTGAAAGGGCACACACAGGCCGTGTAGAGGAGGATGGCGGCTACCCAGCTATGTGGTCCAGCCTGGGCAGCCTCTCCACGTGTGGACATCTCCTCTGCAGCAGTGTTGAGGCCTGGTGGGAATGCACATTGACCAGTCAGAAAACAAAGTAAATCTGTAGGGTGTGCAGTTCAGTGTCTCTTACACAAAAAGTCTACACAAAGTCTTGAGTTGTCCCAAGGACAGGGACCATGCATCCTGTGATCTGGATTTCATAATCAGTTTACATTTTTGTAACAGTGAAGTTTTGCACTTGGGTAGCAACGACTGGGTGTTTTTCATATTAAAAGCATCACTGGAGCTCCCAGAAAACATCAAAGCTGTTTCTCTCCTAAAGCCCAATTCCCTGCTTCTCCCAGACTTCAGTCCTGGCACCCTTTCTGCCCAAGACATCTTAATTGACACTCAAATGGTAAGAATCTCCATTAAGGGTTAACCAGTAATATGCAAATTCCTAGGTATGTCTCCCTAGGAATTTGCATATTAAGAGGTTATCCTTTAAGTCTGAATAACAAATGATAGTAATAATTTACATATATTTGAGGATGTATGTAAACCAGATTCTGTCTGGCCACCATTAATAGATGATCTCATTAATTTAAAAAAAGATTCTAAGTAAGAAACCTCTGTTTACTTAGCCAACAGTTAATTGGATTTAAAGCTCTATTTGGGGAGTACCAGGTAGATTATCATGCATGGAAAGATAGCTGGAACTGGTTTGTGCTCTCCTATGAATAAAACCAGGGCAAATCACTTTGGTGGTGATAACCTATGGCTTTAGTCAGCTGATCCAACTTACTGCAGAGCACAAGAGACCACACTTCCCACGAGCTCCAAGGCTATTCATACAAGCATGAAAGTTGCCCTGCCAGTTCTAATAACACTACAAAGAAGACTACATGTCCAGATTCCACCTCACTGGGCACTATATCCAAATTATTTCAGCACAAAGTCTTTTGTGTCAGTGTACTGCCATATGTTTAAGGAGGTTGATGAAGAGTTTACACATTCCAAAAAAAAAAAAAAATGTTCTTGTAGCCCTTAAATGAAATAATGTGTATAAACCTTTCACATCATAGAGATTTAAATTTTTTATTCTCATTTCTCCGTATTCTGTGGCTTACTCATCATTCAATTTGTTCTAAAACCATCTATTGTTTCTATTGTTAATTAGAATAAATTTTGACCTTGCAGGAAAATGAAGAAACCTCTTTTTTTTTTTAATCGGTACCAGGGATCGAACTCATGACTGCCTGCTTGCAAGGCAGGCGCTTATGCCACTGAGCTAAATCCCCAGCCTCTCCCCCCCTCCTTTTTTTGAAGAAACCTCTTAACTCACCTATTTTTTTTTTTTTTTTTTTACTTTACCATTGAGGGTTTTTTTTTTTTTTTTAAATACACATGCTCTCTCACATACATATTGTTGCCTAAGAATTATACATTTCTGTGTATGAAAATTATCTTCAGATTTCCAGGTCTATTTCAATAAGACCTTGTTCTATTAAGTGCTTTAAAGGTCACAATCCATGGGAAACTGTATCAATTGCTAATTTATTGGCACCTTGCTCACTTACCACTCTTTCAAACTGATACACTCACTGGAGACAAACTAAGGAGCCAGATATAGGATAGATGATTGCAGGCAAGAGCCTCATTGCAGGCTGACCCAAATGGCCACAGCTTTGCCTAGTGACAGACTCACACCCAAGCAGCATTTCAGAGTTAGGCAGTATGTCTAATAACCACTTGATACACCAAATTTAGGTAGAAGCATTTCTTATTGCCAAAGATCAAGGCTGCCTTTTCCAAATTACATATATGCATGTTTATTATTTAATCCTTGTCTATTTTCAAATTGGATTTGTGACAACTCATAACATAAGCCATGCATATCATGGGACATTTTAGTTGAGGATAAACACTCATGTGTTTTGGGATAGAGTTTTTCTGCAAAATTAGGCAGCTGTTAGTTGCTATAGTTTGACAATAAATTTAGCTTATGCTTTCTGAACGCTAAAGTCAAAAGAGAAATATGATGAATTATATAGGAATAAAAAATATTATAAAAACAAGATATACTTAAAATGAGCAATTTTCTGGTATTAAAATTTTAGAAGAATTTATCATATGCATTCTCATATAAGGGACATTGAACTTTAAAAAGGAAAATGTAGTTTAAAAAGGAAATTTTAGAGAAGTTGAAGATGCATTGTTCATTTGAGCAATTATTGCATCAAATCTTCAAAGAAATCTTAGGGTACAATATCAAATATAACTCTCAAAGCTGAGCTCAAAGTAAAGATGAAAAATACTTTAAATTCTAGTCCACAAGTAGACTAATATGATGAAAAGCTAAAATATATAAAACATTTTTAAATGGTTAACAAATGAATATAGCAAACTAGATGAAATGAGCTATTAGTTTATGAGCAATTTTAGAGGTGACCAGCAATCACTGGGCCTTGCTTGTACACACTCACTATAAGCTATTTCAAGTATTATGTGATTAATTTTATCTCTTAGAAAGCCCAAGTGTTTTTTCAAGTAAATATGCTTTCTTTAATAATTGTCTAATTTTAAATGTGCATCAGAATCCAACTTGAATTTGTTTTAATATGGATGCAGTGTGTGGTAGGGATTTGGTTTTCTTCCTAGATGGAAAGCCATTTGTCCTAAAATCATCAGCCCTTACTGGTAAATTTAAAATGTCTACATGTGAATGTGTATGTATGTTCTGGGCTTTCTGTTGTTCCACTGAGCTTTTGAGCTTCACTGTTTTAATTATTTCAGCTTCAGGGTTCATTTTAATATCTAATAGATCATTCTCTCAAACCTCTCTGAATTTTCAAAACCTTCTATGCTATATTCAGAGATTTATTATTCCAGGTGGATTTGAAAATAATAACTTTTCCAAACAGAAAAGCACTTTGTGATTATGATTAGAGGTGCATTAAATTTTTAGGTTAAAATGTAGAGAAGTGGTATTTTTGCAATATTGAATCTTACCTATCAGGAAGGTTATGTGTCTCCGTTTATTTGAGCCATATTTTATGATTCATAATTTTTATAGCTGTGTTCATACTGACCTAAAATTTCTTAAAAGTCCCTTTAACTACCTTATATATGGGGAATAATGATCAGCGATTTCTTCCATTATAGTTTCTAACTGGTTATTGTTTGTATGCATACATCTAGTTTCACCAGCCTATTTTATATGCCCTCTGAAGTTTTTAAATTCAGAACTAGTACTGATATGTAGAATTGAGACTGATGGGTAGAAGTTATAATAGACTGTTAGGTCTGTGAGGGCTTTATCAGTGCCAACAGCCTGACTGGAGCATCCATAGGCACTCAGCAAATATCTTTTAAGAAACTTAATGAATTATTTTAGCTCACCAAAAGAAAGAACTTCCCAAATCTGAACAATATAGTGCTTTGTAAGGTAGAAACAGATTCATGAGGGAGCAGTATTTCTGTGCCTGACAATATCCCTGCAGTTCCTTTACATAGGATGGGCAAGAAATTACAGAGCAGATCCATACATTGGGTAGATGATGTGGCATATATTACAATAATCTATCACTTTATTTTTCTAGATATTAAATAAGAAATAAATGTATACTCAACAACTGCCGTGTCTAGCATAAGGGACAAGGGTTGGTTTGGGCTTCTACTTTCACTGTAATAGCATACTGTTGTTTCTTAGGGACACATACACACACACACACACACACACACACACACACACTGGATGACGTCTAAGCGTCTCACCCTTCCCTACTGAACAACATGAGGACAATTGAAGTCAGGTCAACTACACAGTCTTTCCCTCATATACGAAACTTTGAGAGTATGTATAAGTGCTGACACTTTTTCTTCCCAATAGAAGAGAGCTCTTGAGATCGTCTGTCCTTGCCATCAGATCCTGGGGAGCAGCTGTCTGGAGAGGTATCCTGCTTCAATCTGGCTATAGTGGCTGGAGTTGGCTTATATTACTTACAGACAAAGAAACCTAAACAGTATAAGGAGAAAAATAATTCACATGATATTTTAACAGAAGAAACAGCATAACTTGATGACAGATCAGAAAGAAAGGTGGCACAAAGACAGCACAGCCTCAAGGCAAGGATACATGGGACCATCTTATGCCAGGCGCATACTTAGAGGAAAACAAAAAGAATCAGGCTGAAAGACAGTTTGCACAGCATTCATTATCCTTGTCATTTAAGCTTCTTATCAGATTCATTATGAACACTTCAGTGGTGGGGGGACTTGCTCATTACCACATCTCTGCTTTCACTTTCAGTTGATACTAATTTGATGATGATCATTTGATTTATTTTGATCATATTTTACTTCAAGGGCCACATTTGCAGCCACCTCACCTCAGTCTCTTGGAAATTGCACCTGCAAATGTTCAATAGTCAGATAGAATTTGGCTTTATGGAAACAAGTGGCTTTTAGACATGCAAATGAAGCTTGCAGTTCTATTACCCAGCAGTTGGATTTTCTGCTATTGGAAGTATTCAAGTGCAGTTGAAGAAAACTTTTATCTGGAAAGACTGGGCTAAATAGAGAATGCAAGTGAGGAGTTTGATCCCCAGCACCACCAACAACAACAAAAAATGCAAGTGAGAAGACTTTCTAAGGGATGATAGTGTG